TAGGTGTACGTCGTGTCTCTGGGTGGGATGTTGATCAGTCAGCCAGTTACCATCGGTGGCTCAGGCAGCACCTACATCTACGGCTATGTTGATGCCAAATACAAACCCAACATGAGCAGAGAGGAATGTCTACAGTTCGCCACTAATGGTACTTATTTTAATTATGTACCCTCTTTTACAAGAACAAGATGTTAGCACCTAGAGAAAATAAATAAATATTTGTTGGTGACTCAGTTGTTGGTAGGATAAAAGTTGCACATTGCATATCTTTGCTGGTTAAACTAGACCTATAGGTCTCCTGCTTTTTGTTCCTGTCTGTCCGTCCTCCCCTGTCCTCCCGTCCCGTCCCCCCTCTGTTCCTGTGCTCACAGCTCTCGCTTTGGCCATGGGCCGAGACAACGTCAGTGGAGGTGTGGCTCACCTGGTGGTGATCACAGAAAAGGGGGTGGAGCATGTTGTTGTACCTGGTGATAAGTTGCCTAAGTTCCATGATGAGTGACTAATGAAATTTGAATTTTTTTTTTTATTTTAATTTTATTTTATTTTTGCATTAAGGAGCAAATATTTGGAATCCACAATGTACTAGGTTATTGCTAATTTGCTATAGCATGAGAAGATAAAATAAAATATATCCAAAAACTTCATCACTTTCCCATTTACTTTATTTATCTACTTCAAAATCCAGGGATGTGATGTGTTCTGTAAATTATGATACTGTTTTAACTGAAGTTGTCTCATAATATTTAAGGTCCTTCCTAATGTTTATATAGTGGTTTAGACAGTGGTAGCAGCCTTACCCTCGTAATTAACCAGTTACCAAATGCACCCTTAATGAGTAGCTAACATCCCGATGTGACTACAGTACAAGCATCCCGACAACTGGAATGATTTTCTTTCTCCTAAATGTCACCAGACGGCCTCCGTATGTCCGTAAACACGTTCCCGTGTGCGCGCAGAGAGGAGTCTGCAGCGTCCCGTGTTTTAATACTGGTATCTAAATATATACAAGTAAAAGGTATTTTCCCCGATTCTTGGAAGTACATACTAACAGTCAGATCGGGCTAGGTACTCCGTAAACCAGATCAGTCCGGGTCGAGGGTACAATCCATCCACCGTGTCTGTTGTGGGCAGCGCAGTTGCGTATGCGCATTGCACGGCACAGCCCTCCTGTCAGATGAAAGCAAGTAGAGCGCCTCTAAAACTATGGCGGATGTATTATTTGAGGTTGTGTTCCTTCTCTTCTGTCATTTTGCATCTCCACATAAGATCGCATTTTGATTCTTGTCTTTTAAACAATTTTCTGTTACAGCAGTTATTTGTCCGAAGCTATTTATTGCTGCAGTTTCAATTTCGCTTCAGAATAAAAGTGTAGGATAACTGATCTCTAAAACCACAAACTCCGGGTTCTCCTAACTTAGTGATATTTACTTTCATTATTACTATTATTACAGGATTACCAGGATTACTCGTTGTTTCAACAGATCTCATGCTGTGCCAGCTCATCTCAGTTCACGGTTGTGTTATGGAACTAACTGCTGAAAACTACAGTAGAAACTGAAGATAACAAGCTTTTGCTGGTGTCTGTTTATTTTGTTTGTTTTGTTATATGTCATATGCTACATATTAGACCGTACTAGCAATCCTGACATTTACATAATAATTATAGTTTCACACACACATGCACACTTTTATCTTTCGGACAATCACTGACCAAATGCGATTCCCAGCCCCAAACCCTGAGCTTAGTTAGAGCCTTGTATCTTTCTGTGACCTCTAATTGAACATCAGTGAAAACATTTGTGTAGTATCTGTGAAAATCATTTACAATGCCAAGGTACGATCCTTGTATTGTACTTTACATTGTAAGCTACAGACACAGAATTATAATGTATTATTTTTGTATTGCAGACTGACGGAATAAAAAAGTCTCTGTTGTACACTGAGAGTCAAAAACCATGTCATACATATAGGATGTGAAATGTAGCTAATAAAATACCTGTTTTTCCACAGTAAATCACTCCCTGAGGTTTATCCTCACTGGATCAGCTGGAGTGACAAACCTCCCAGAGTTTGTGAGTGTTGTGAAGGTTGATGAACTTGAGATGGTGTACTGTGACAGCAAGAGAGCAGAACCCAAACAGGATTGGCTGAAATTCTTCAAAGAAAACAATAGAGAACATGTCAGTGCATACACTGCTGAGTGTAATAAAAATAGGATCTTCTTTAGAAAGACCATCAATGTTTTGATAAAGTGTTGCAGCCAAACTCAAGGTAAGGTTATGTTTCATTCTGCTAAAATGTTCAAATGTGTATCACAACACATAGACACACACACACACACACACACGGGCACACAAACATTATTTGTCCTTTAGACAAATACACACTCATAAACACCCCATTCAGTCCTTTCTTCACATCCACCCAGAAGCTTTTACGTGCCATCACAAAAGTAGACTCAGAAGTGTTGCTTTGATATTTAAGTGCTGTCTGACTTTAGCTGACTTTAAAATGAATAATGTTTGCATGTAATAAATCAAAACGATTAAAATACTGTATAATTTCTCTGACTAATTAATAACATGAACATCTCATAATACCCGACTGTGCTGGAGTCTCACTCAGGTTTTCTTCTGTCTCTCTCAGATATTCATATTTTCCAGAGGATGTCTGGCTGTGAATGGGATGATGCCACTGGAACAGTTAATACTTTTGATCAGTATCATTACGATGAAAACTTTATTGCATTTGACCTGGAGACAGAGACACTGACCACTCCAACACCATGGGCACGCAATGCCAAACATGAGTTGGATAGTAACAAAATTATAATACCAAATATTAAAAGCTACCTCACCCAGGAGTGTTTAGTCTGGCTGAAGAAGTATTTAGACTATGGGAAGAGCTTTCTTCTGAGAACAGGTAGAATCACGTGATCTAATGTAGTTTTTTGAACACAACATTTATAAAGTACTTTTCTTCTGTTTCTAATGTACAATAATATTACAGTGAATATGAAGCAAAGATTTAAAGACTCACTGTTGACAACTATAATTTGTTTGAGTTTACAGACATTTGTTTTTGACTTTGTGTCTCTTTTCCCCTCCCTCCAGTCCTCCCCTCAGTGTCTCTCCTCCAGAAGAGATGCTCTCCAGTCAGCTGCCATGCTACAGGTTTCTACCCTTACAAAGTTGACATGTTCTGGAGGAAAGATGGAGAGGAGCTTCATGAGGACGTGGGCAAAGGAGAGATCCTCCCCAACAATGATGGGACCTTCCAGATGAGTGTTGATCTGAAACTGTCATCAGTGAAACCTGAAGACTGGAGCAGGTACGACTGTGTGTTTCAGCTCTCTGGAGTGAAGGAGGACGTGGTCACCAAACTGGACAAAGCAGTGATCAGAACCAATGGTAAGGACTGAATCAATATTAAACCAATGCATGTGCCCTTCTCAGGGATTTCTGTGCTACTATATTTAAGCAATTTCCTTTTATTAATGTAGAATGAGTTCAGCAATGCACCATACAGCTTTGTACCTACTTTACTAACCTGAAGTGTATGGACGCACATTGCATTCACCAAAGAAAATAAACTGGAAGATCTTATCTCACAATTCTGACTCTCTATGATAACAGAAATCTCAACTCAGTGTTTCTCAAGCAAGCTGTGAAGCTTTCCAACAACTGCTTAGTACATGTAGCCTAGTGAGTTACACTGTAGGCAGCAACTGTGAGGCCCTGTCTACATTTGTTTACATTTTGGAACATTATGTAAGATGAAGTAATTATTAATAGTTCACTTTTGTTATGTGCGATTGGATATACTGACAACTATCACTGAATTATATTGATAATAAAGAATTTGTTAAAACCTGATGACTTTCAGGCAGGTCCTGCAGCGTTCCCACCCCCACATCATCTCGTAATTATGAGATAGAAAGTCATAATTATCAGATAACATCCTTTTTTGGTGAATGCAGTGTACTTCTGTAGAAGTGGACATTTCATAAGGAATTATTCTTGTTTTGCCAATTATGACTTTATTTTATTTTAGCTTTTGAAAATTAGCTTAAACATTCATTTTCAGGTAGCCTTTGCAAGTATGAGAAGCAACATATTTAAACTATGTGGAATCATTTTGATGGATCTTGTCAGACACACACTGCAGACTGATGGATGTGCTGTTTTTCCTAGATTACTTCATCCTTGCAAGTCCTGACCTGACCACTACACCCATCATTGTTGCTATGCTCGTTTTAACTGTTTGTCTCATCTTGGGCACTGTATTCATCACGCTCCAAACTGTTAATGGTGAGAGGGGAAAAGTGCACAGTGTCTGTATTTCACGTTTTCAGTAACTTGATTTTAGAGCTTGAATTCATGTCTGGATTGAGTTTGTAAAACAAGCTTTCATTCCTACTTTTCCTACTGCTTACTTTTGTTTGCACCAACCAATAGTAAGCAGTGTAAGGCTCAGATTATAATAATAGCTGTAGTATGATAATGTAAAAGAGAACTATATAAGACCAGGTATAGGTGTATTTGATAGAAATGGAGCGATTCATTTGGGTTATGGTGACAAAATATATTGTGGCTTCTAAAAACTAGAATTATTTCTTTTCTTTTAGACTATTTAGTTTCTCAGATGTGGGCCTACTTAAATTAAAGAATTAAAGAATGTGTTCATTTTTT